GCGGCGCTCTGGGCTAGCAAAACCGGCTGCGCGGCTCCCAGTGCCCGCATCGGCTTGCTTATACCATGTTATAATTGCCCCGCGCGCCATCCTACGACATCCTGCTTACCACACGAAATCGCGCCGTCGTTGCCGATGTCGTCGTCGGGGTCTTTTTCCACACGTGCGCTCGACTCGGTCAGATGTACCAATCAAAATAAAATATCCTTAATCCTTGCTTAATCAAAAATAAATAATAATAATATCACCAAGCAAAACGACCAAGGTCCGGGCCGACTTTACGATCAACAACAGAAAAGAATCACGCGCGCCTTAAGCCTACGCGCCCACGCACTCGCTATTGTGGTCAACCACCCTATCACGCAATTATAGACGCAACCGTGCTTAGCGTGGTGTACTTAAACTCTAGACCAAAACTATTTTCTGTCACTTGCAAAAACCAGGGCAGATACCCTTGTAAGGGTAATAGCACCGACAACTTACCAGACCATATTAAGCGACGTCTCCGTCGCTTCGCCAAAATCAGAAAGCTATAAATTCATCCATACCCCAAATGCTGAGGAAACAGGAGCCAATCCGATTAGCCGACAAACACAGGGTAGAGGCCTCCATCAAACCATGCCTCCACAACTATATGCTGCTAGGCTCCTAACCCAGGCCTCTCACTGCCAAGAAATTAGGACGAGGACCGCGTAAGTTTCAAAGACCTTTTCAATCGTCCTCTCCCCGGTCCTAGACAACCTTCGGCTTCTCGTTGGGTGTCCCTAGTCCTGGCAAAAACTAGGGACGCGGGTCTTAATTGAGACCTTTTGAAGGCACTCTCACCTTCCTTCTTAAAAAAACCTCTCGCAATCAAATACACATAAGCATATATGTATACTTAATATCCGCTCAGCTTTTTCTGCCGCCTGGTACAGAAAGGCTAGGTCTCCACCTTGGCCAACCATAGCCTGGCTGATCGGACCAGGACCACGGCCCACCGCATTGTTATTTAGCAGCAGTACCCTCGTTGGTTACGCAACGATAGATTTTCTGCTGATAAGCATTCAATCAGGATTTCCCCCAAAAATTTTCAACCATCACTACCCCGCGGAGTAATTTCACTAGGGCGGGCACCCCCCCTTAAACTCTTACCCACGCGGTCCCACAGCCAGGTTGCGCCGGCTAGCAGCCATCCAATGGGGTTACGCCCTAGAGGTACTAACTTTTTTTCCGTTAGCTTGACCTTTCTTCAATATGTCTCAGAATTAGCACCAGTGGTTAGACGGGGGCGTCGCAAAACAAAATCACTGGCCCACTGCGTGATACGAAGGGGTCCGAAGGCATTTACCATCTCCCCTTCAATAGGCATGGCATCCTTCACACGCTTACAAACAAAATCACCGCTAAATCCACCAGACCGTGACCCCTGATTTGATCAGAGTCAGCAACCACCCACCCTGAGACATCTTTCGCCCTGCACTCATTGCGACTTTCTCAAACATTCCAAACAAAAGTGACCCTTTTCATCAGACTTTATCACTCATCAGACAACTTATAATGTCATAAATCAGTTTACTCACCTTTGAAGGTGAGTCTTCTAACAACAAAAACATCCTCTTCGCCAAAAATCCAAGGGACTCTCATCATAAACAAAACACCCCCTCTTCCAAAAATCACGAGGGATCTCGCCACCGAACAAAAACACTCCCTCTTCCAAAAGTCACGAGGGGTCTCATCATAAAACCAAACATTCTTTTTTTCAAAGTCACGAGGGGTTTCGTTACAGCACAAAACATCATAAAACATCCCCCTTCTCCAAAATCCAAAGGGGCTTATCATAAAACAAACATCACTGAGAGACCATCTTATGGCTCCACATCACAACTTAAGCAATCAATAATCAACATGGTAAGCATTTTGAGCCTCCAGGGCTCATAAATCTTCAAAATCCTCATAACCTTTCACAGACGGGCTGCGCTTTCTCCCCTTATACTCTGCCCTATCAGCTGTCCGAGGGCAGGTCGCACTAGTATACCGATGAGTAGACAGTTTTGCTTACAATCATATTCACAGTACCCATGACAAAATAAAATGTTTTTCACACACTGTCCACACAAACCCACCATACATCAGAGTACAACCACACATGTGAGAGAGACAAGTGATCGTCACATATAAGAATGGTCCTTGAAATAAAACCTCATCATAATATACACTCAGGGAACAAAATGTCTCACACAGAAAGTGTCTCCAAATCATAGCTCGCTCAACTCAAGCCACATCAAACCCATACTAACAACAGCCCCTAGAATACATGTCAGATCTGCCTCTCAAGGTCAGTGCATATGCCACCTAAATATGTACATGCCTCATCTAAATCACCCTGATCCTCAAGACCCCTACTCAGTAGGAGCACTAGAGTTCAGATCTAGACTAGCAACAATCATCAAAAAGGTCCTCTAAGTCTAAGAGGGTATCACATAGAACCTAAGCTGATGCCTCACAAGATACTCGCCCACTTACATAGACAAAACCGGCCGTACCTCCTCAACTCCTCCTGGTTTTGCCTATATAACTGAGCCCTAAGTCCATCTGCGGACTTCTCTACTATCCTACCCTGTCTATCATACATCTTACCCCCTGCTTTTGAGACCTTCCTTTCTGCCTTATCCTCAAGGAACTCGAGACAGTCCAGAGCCAGATGCACGCCCCTCTTGCAGTAGAAACATAGCTGATCAACCTTCCTCTTGAACTTTTTTTTCTTGGGCTGAGGAGATGGCGATGAAGGAGATCCTACCAAGGTACTGACAACCCCCTGTTGCTCTGATCGAGGAGCTGTGGTACTAACGACCTCCTCCTGCTCTGTCCCAGGAACCGGTCCCCCAGACCCAGATCCAGTAGCCCAAGATCCCAGTCTGCTCCTCAAATCCCCTGTCGCTGGGACGTACTCAGGTGTGTCCAACCTCTCAGGTCTCCTCTCGAGTGTCTCTCCTGGCACTGCCATGGGCTGCTCCTCAATCTCCTCTGGTCCATACTCAGGTGTGCCCAACCTCTGAAGCCCGCCCTTGATGGCACCCTCCGCCTCAATCCCCATCTCTCTCTCAAGAGACTCCTCTATCCTCTGCTCAGGTGAAAAAAAACTCACCTCCTCCTGCATAATATGCACCGCCTCAAGGAGCACACCCATGGATCCCTCTGCTGAGCCTTGAGCCGGCTCACTACTGGATGGTGGCAACCCCTCCTCTACTGCCAAAGGTACGACTGGGCCCGCCGCCGCCACTGGCAGCATTGCGAGCTCGATAGGGGCTCTAAACTCGAAGGCCTCTCTCTCCGCCTGCCTCAGGGCTCTCGCCTCCTCTGGCTCCAGGATCACTCTCCCCATAGGTGGCTCCTGGCGAGGCTCTGCTGCAGATGGCTGTTAGGGTAATCCATGTCCTGGCTGCCTCTGCTCTCCCTGCCTGCTGCTCTCTGGCTTGTCCACCTTTCCCTGGGTTTGCTGCCTCAGGCTCTCAATGATAGCTGCCTAACTGGCCACCAATGCCCTGAGTTCCTGGATTTCCATCTCCATAGCCTCCAGGCATACTCCATGGCTTGCTTCCTTTATCTTCTTCCCTGCTAGATCGCCCTCCAATAACAAGTGTCGGTCAAAAGTTATCTTGGGCAGGAACTTGATTTTTCGATCCAATCTCTCTTCCGCCTTTCTTGCCACCCCAAACCCGAATCTGATTGGCGAAGGAAGCTCCTCTCCTCTCTGCTCCCAGAAGTCCCTCCACATCTCAGGGATCTCCGGGGCCCTAGCTGGCGCACTGGGTGGCTGACCTGGGAGTGCTCCTGCTGCCTCCGATCTCTGCCTCTCCTGCTGCTGCTCTGGAAGCTTTCCCGCTACCTCCAACCTCTGCCTCTCCTACCATATCTCATCTATCCTCCTGGTTCTTCTCTCCCTCTTTTCCTCTGCTGTCTCTCCAGCTGGCGCCCTTTCCCTCGTGCGGAGGTCGACCCTCTTCGGGATCTCTGCCTCCATCTCCTTCTCGGGCTGGCACGGCTCCTGGCGCGGCTCTACAAGTGCCGGTTCTTCCAGGTCTGGGTGCTCCAGGGCATGAGCTGCTAGGTGCCTATCAATCAGGATCAAAGCTTCTCTCCTTACAGCAACCCTCTCTCTCCTCCTTTCTGCCTTGTTTTCTGGCGAAGGAGTCTTTTCTGATGAAGGTAATGGGGTCTCCTCTCTCTACAACCTCTCCCCTGTCGGGCGAGTGCTCATTGGTGCATCCCCGAGTCTCAAACCCTATCACTTCCTTCCCTGCACGTCTCCCCTCATCGCCCTCTCAATCGGGATCGCTGACGTATGTGGGGGCGTGTCCTCTCCAACCTCTATCACTTCCTTCCCTGCACGTCTCCCCTCATCGCCCAGCCCTCTCTCTCGCTGAGTATCTTGGACCTCATCCCGTGGCACCTCTTGTTGTGGCACCTCCTCTCGTGGTACCTCCTCCGCCTGCTCTCCATGCTCCTCACCCCGAGGCGACGCTTTCCACTAAGAGATATCCAAATGTGTCTCCAACTCCCTCAAGGGCCCCTCAGATGCTGGCGGCTCCTCCTGTGTGCGTGCTGGCGACCTCCTCAATCCACCCTCGSTAAACCGATGAAACTCCACTGGTCCCAACCCACACTCAGGGTATGCCCCTCGCTCCTCAGCCTCTAGCTCCGGCTCTGGTTCCTCTTCTCTCCTGGCTAGGGTCTTCCGTCCTCCTCGAGATGGTCTCGCCTCCCTGGGCTCAGGGTCCCTCTGCCTCTAACTCCTCTGACGCCTCTCGACTTTGGGCTGAGGGGGCTCTGGTCGTCGAAAGGCCTCTCTCAGATGTGCCCTGCAGCTCTCCCAGTCCCGGGCCATGTCTCTGACCTGCTTAGCCAGTGCCCTTTCCGCCTTTCTGGTTCAGAGGGGTAACGTCCTCGCCCACTCATTTCTCGGTATACCCTGCCCCTGCATGAACCACTCGAAGGCAGGGATAAAGTCTGCCACATTTTCGATTTCTAGACGAATCGGCCTGCCATCTGGTCCCATAGGCGAGGGTCAGAACTCCTCCATCCTCGTCTCCACCTCCTGCCTCGTCGTCGCCTCCCTACGAATCCTGGCAATGGGCTCCTCGAACCTGCTTGCTCCCCTCAGTCTTTCGATCGCCTGGGCCACGGTCCAGCCCGTACGCCTCGCATGATCCCAAAAGTTGTCCAGGAATAGCTCGATGTCCCCATCGTCGTACACCGGAGTACTCTCTCGATGGCGAGGCCCATGCCGCTCATATCCTCCTGATGCTCCCAACGGCCTCTGAGGTGGCCGTGTCCCCTTCCCTCCTCTTGGCATGGCTGCCTTCGTAAAGTCAGACCTGCACAACAGGCGAAGGAGACAACAGGCACACATTGGGGTAAGCAAACAGGTGATAATCAAAGCAAGGCTAGACCAGACCATACTTATACAGCATGCATTCTACCTAACGTACACACCTTTATTACTTCTATTCTAAAGGCAGTCAGGTCATTTCTCTTACCTCTTCTCTCGCCACAAATTTCTTCAATCGCGTTCCAGATACCCAATCCTTCCACTCAGTCCCATTTAACTCCTCAATCTGGTACGCTCCAAAATTTCCGACCCGTACGATCCGAGAGAGACCTAACCACCTCTTATCGAGTTTCCTGGACCACTGCTTTTCCGGCGATGAATCGTAGAGAAGCACGACATCCCCAACTGCCAAGGGTACTTTCCTCACTCGCGCAGACTGATCCCATCGAGCCTTATCATCCATACGGCTTCTCGCCACCTGGTCAGACTCCTCCTGGATCCGTTCTTCTATTGCCCCTATCTGCCGCGCCCAGATATCGAGCAACTCTTCAAATGACAGGTTAACTTCCAGATCTTGGCGCCTCCATGTCTTAAGAAAACTCTCGATAGGGAAGGTGGCGTGCCTTCCATATTACAGCGTCGCCGGTGCATATTTTTTGGACGTTTCTACTGTAATGTTCTCGACAAAGAACACCGCCCTTAGGTATCTTGGCCATTGATTAGGCCTACCTTCGGTCCACTTAGCAAGGAGACTCGTAATGATACTATGTCCTTTCTCCACGGGAGCATTTGCCTGGGGGTGCGAGACCGTGGTGTAGTTGGCTACCACACCATACCTTGCAAACAGTTTTTGCACCTCCTGGTAGGTAAACTCTGATCCCCTGTCCATTTCGAATTCCCTGACGAAAGGATAATGCAGGTAGTATTCCTCGATGCAGCTCACTAAGACTAACCCGGTCTTGGTGCGAATAGCACGCCCGTCTACGAAGCCAGACAGGTTATCGCGCGCATCGAAGATATAGTTATAGCCTTGATCCCCAAGCGGCATAAAAAGTAGATCGAGATGCACTACAGCCCCCACCTCTCGCTCTAGCCTTGAATACAATGACTCTCCTTGCCTTAAATGGGATCTCTCCTGGCAAAGTACGCAAGATCGGCAGAAATTTCCGACCATGTCCATCATCCCATCCCAGTAGTACAACTCACTTATCTTGGCATACGTGGCTTGTACCCCTCGATGCCCTCCTGCAATGCCATCATGAAGCGCTGCTACGACGTCGATCTGATGATTCCTACCGCAGACGACTCTCCTGGGATTCCCCACTTCTCTTCTCACGAAAAGGTGGTCGTCTCGCACTAAATAGCGTTGCAGCATCCTCTGAGCTCTATCGCTTGCATCCCTAAGCCGCATTTCACATAACAGAAGAAGCCCCCAGCTCTAGGTAGATCCCGTCGTACTCCTCTGCACGAAAGCCTCCTTAATCTCCCCCTCCTCGAACTCATTGTCCTGGCTCTCGGGCATTTCGTCCACATTCCCTGTCGGTTCAACGAGCCTGATTGGTCGAGGCCTTCCTGCAATAACGTGTTGACGAGGAGATACATTCCTCCCATCAGGTCCTCATGCCGTTCTACCTGGCCAGGTCCTTCCTCAATTGTTCTCATGTCCCCCACCAGGCTATGCGAGTTGGCCAGCGCTAATTCCATCATCCACTGAACATCCTTACCACCTCAGGGATCCTCTTCTTCAAAGGGTTTGAGGACTAGCTCAGCCCTCCGTTCGTACCCATTTGGCGCTTGCCAGATAGGATAGCCTACACAGCTGGGCACTCGCGGCGACCACTTGTTGATGTGGAGATGAACATCTTCTTCCTGATCCAGAAATCCATCAACTGGGGGCGTATTCTCCACCGCCTCCCAGTTGATCCGACTCAGCCCGTCCGCTCGGTCCTTACTACCAGGAATCCGTTCCAATTCGAAATTGAGCATCCAGATGTACGTCAGCCATCTTGCAACCGTCGGATCCGATGGAACGCAATTCCTTAGAGAGTAGGCCAGGACGATCGGATCTACTCTCAAAATAAACCTCCTGCCGAAGATGTAGTTCCGGAAGATTCGCAGATAGTGGAGGACGGCAAGGGTCTCTCTCGTGAATTGAGAGTAGCTCCTCTCTGTCGTACAGAGGGTCCGACTCTCAAATCGCAAGGGTCTTTCCTTTCCCTCCATGTCCGTCTGAATTACAACTCCCCCTAAGGCAGTCGGCCCCGCATCTATTTCAACAATGAAGGGTCATGTTTTCGTGGCATCATAATCTGGTGCTCCTAGCACCAACCCTCCTTCTCGAAATTCCTCCTTCTCGAAATTCCTCCTCCATCCTAGCTACCACCTCTTCTTGTTCTTCACCCCATACCCATTCCTGATCCTGACGAACTAACTTCCTCAGGTGTTCAGTCTTAGCGGCAAAGTTCTTGACAAAGACCCTCCAAAATCCACACGTACCAAGGAAGCTTCTGACATCAGTTATTGAGTGGAAAGAAACTGGCCACTCAGTAATCTTGTCCGTCTTCTTCACATCCAGCCTCCGGCTCTTCTCGCTGCAGACGAACCCCAAAATGATCGCTTCCCTCATGCAGTGTCTGGATTTGGCCCCGCTTGCCATGAGGTTATGCTCCTCGAGCAGGCTCAGGACCTTTTCGAGGTCCTGGATGTGCTTCCAAACAAAACGCCTTACCCCTGGCGAGACTTCGTCGCTCTCTTTCACCGCCGGCCCCTTCACTGCCAAATCGTCGATATATGGCTGTGTGATATGGGGGTTGACTGACTGCATAGCCCGAATCATGGCCCGTTGGACCATTGCTACCGCATTGGTCTACCCTTGTGGGGCCACCGTCATGTGGATTAGCCCTCGCGGCGTATGTATAGCCGTCACAGGCCTGTCCGGCGGGTAGACTGGAAACTGATCATATCCTGAGTAAAGGTCTATAAGTGAGATTATAGGCCTTCCAGCACAGGATTCTGACAGTGTGTCTGCATTGGGCAATCCTCCAGCATCCCGCACGGTCACCGCATTCAGTCTTTGCAAATCTTGCACCCACCGCAGCGTCTCGTTAGGCTTGATAAAGCAGAACCACGGGGACGCATACGGTCCACTCGAATAGTCGGCGACGTGCGTATGTATTTTGTCGTCGAGGTAATCCACCACCTTCTTTTCCTCGTAAGGATTGGGATATCGCGCCCCTCTCATGTTCCAAGGCTCGTGTGGCACGGTGTGGATGCGGATCATAGGTATCTTGTCCACATCGAGCCTGCCACGTTCCTCGTCACTAAACGCATAGACGCGATGCCTCTATTTCATCAACTCCACCATCAACGCTCGCTCTTGAGGCAGTAGGAAGTCGGGTTCCCCTACAATCAACTTTCCCTCGTTCCCTTCGTTGATACGACATGGCCCTGCTAGAACACTCTCCCTCATTCGTCGTATCAGCCCTCGTTCCCTCTCGTAGTATGCCTCCTCATCTTCTGTAACGAGGACGGGAACTGGGCGGCACTTCTTATCTACCGTCTTGTACTACCTTTGGGAACCCTGCTTGAGCCGCCCCCTAAAAAAGGACGACTCACAGATTGCGCCTGCGCTGATGCGGGGCTCCTCCTGCTGCCCGAAAGCCGATATACTAGCTTCAACCTTCCTGCCTCGGGGCATTCTAGAACTTATTCCCTCAAAGCTTGGATGGCATCCGGATCCGCCATTTCATGCGCGGCCACCAAGTCCATGGCCTTCCCAACATCTGACAGGCTGAGGGAAAATGCTTTCACCCTCTCTCCTGCTTCGGGCTCTGTCCGGAACCTCCGACGGTCACCTTCCGACTCTTCGATCGTGAATGATCCTGGATTGGGCCGGTTCCTTATACTCCTTGGCCCTATTTTAATGCAGGTAATTATTTCGTAATTCCCGCAGGCAGGATCGCATAAAAGGAGGATTAACATCTCGTCATGCTTATTGAATATTACGGTCTCTGTCCTGCTTAGGAATGACCTCCCCAGGAGGATTCCGTGATCCACGTTCGGCATGATGAAGAAGCAAGCCCTGACCTTCACCTTTCCAACCTCGATGAGTACATTTGAGGTTGTCCCACAAAATACGGCCTTGCAACTGGCTCCGTGCAGAATACCGTTGTCAGAACGGTCTATATCCAGCCCGAATCTTATCACGTTCGCCTCCCGAATAATGTTCATCTCCGCCCCGGTGTCCATCATTGTTGCACACTTGGAGCCTTTTACCACTAAATCCACCGTGCCGCAAGCCACGCACTTCCAATCCATCTTTGTGCCTGACTCCGCCCACTCTGCCTCCTTGGGCAGAATCGTGCCCAGATGGACGTTGGGCACCGAGCGCCACGACAACCTCCCCTTCAGTTCATCGCGGAGTCGCGGGGCCGACGCTAGGATTTCCTTCAGAGTCATGAGGTCATTGTGCCTTTCTAGCAGTCGGTCGATCACTTTCTCCACGTCAAACCCCTCCTCCAATCGAACCGCATACTTCTTCCTTTTGGGCGGTCCGTCGCGCACGACCGGCTCGACCTCTCCCCTGGCTCCCTTTTTCCGCGCCCACTGCTCCGCTCTCTGATCCTCCTCCTTGCGCAGCCTCTCGTCCTCTTCCTCCTCATTGTCGTCATCGTCCACTTCCATGGCCTCTTTTCTTTTTCCTTGCTCCAGCTCCCTCCTTTGAGGTTCTTGGCTGGCGCTGGCTTTGGCTTGATTTCTCGTTCGTGCTGCCTGTGTCAGTCGGGCCTGCAGAGTGACATCATTCCTGATTGTGGGCACGACCCCACCACATTTACTCTGGGTCGCCCAGGCGCTGACTCCGGACCAGAGTCGTAGAGGAACACCTTGGGGATGTTAGACTTCCATTTCCTCACTTCCTCACAGAGGCCCACCAACTTCTGTTGGTACCTCCCTATCTTTTCCAACAGGTCCTCCATTTTCCCCAACAAGACGGACGAAGGTTCCATCCTTTCTTCCTCATTCTCGTCATCTGACTCAATGATTATGGGTTCTTCCCCCTTACTTCCTCCTCGTGACCCTTGAGTCACTTCCTCATCGCTTCCCACTTCCTCTATCCCAATCGGTGGTTCTTCCTTTTTCTGCCATAACCTGAACATGGCAGGGGGTGGCGGCCCAGCTCCCGCCCTTCGTTGGGCTTCCGCCCTCACTCCTCCAAGCCTTCTGTCAATGGCCTCCCCAAACTGATCGTAGATGTTCCCATCCATAGTGGAGGAAATCAGCCCGCTCCTCTCGTCTTCCCGTCTAATATTACAGAACCTTATGGTGTGGCCTTGTCGGTCACAATGTTGGCAGATGGCCGTCCTCCAGTCAAAACGGAATCTTCCATACCCCTGACTTCCCTGATCCCCCTGGCCTTGATACCCCTGGCCGTGGTACCCTTGGCCTTGGTACCCCTGACCTTGATTCCCTTGGCCTTGGTACCCTTGGCCTTGACCATTCCATTGCCTTCCTCTTCCGCCGCCATTCCTGCCTCGCCCCCTTCCTCCACCCCTCTTCCGTTGCCTTGATTGCCCTGCCCCTGGTTCCCACCTTCAGCCACGCTTCCCTGTGTACTGGGAGTGGGTGACGGTGGCGGGGCCACAGGCTGGGCCTGGCCTGCGGGGTAGATGGGTGGCACCATACTCGTTTGTGGTCTGGCTACTGGCGGCGGGCTACCCCATGGTACAATTGCATTAATCACCGGTCAGGGCCACTGTCGGTAGGAGGGCGCCCCTCCTTGCGAGGGGCCTGTACTAGATGATGGAGCCGCCGTATTTAAAGGGGTCGCTGTCAAGGCCTGAGTCGCCTCCGCTTTTCCTAATCCCTGTCCGCCCTGCGCCAAGTTACGCACTTTGCGCTGGGCCTTCGTCCGGCGATGCGGCACCGACTCTTCCTCTTCCCATAGCTCCTCCTGAACAACCTCCTCTATCACCGGCTCCTTTCCTTTCACTTAGATAGTCGTTACTACCCTCCTTTGCACCACCGGCTCTGTCGCATACCCCAGTTGTGCCAATACGTCTGTAACAATCCTTGTTACTCTCGGGGTCCCAGAAGCGGTTGCATCTCTTTCCTTTCTCTTTTGCCTCTGCAGGCGTACCTGACGTTGCTCCACCTGGTCCAAACACCCAACTTTCACCCCTCTGTCAATAGTGGCCCAGGTGAGCTTGGTGCTACCTCCTCCATGCCTTGTCAACTTGACGGCCTCCGAAGCTGTGAGTAGCCCAGGAAGATGGCACACTGTGCTTCCTCCGAAATCTCATAGACCTTCCGCGCCCTCTTCTTGAATTCTTGAACAAAGGTCCCTATCGTCGTAAAATCCTCTTTGTTTATTGCCTCAAGGTCCGCAGTAGTCAATAGTCCGTCTCCCAGGCGGTACTTCCTCTGCATCCCCTCCTTGAACCTCTCTCAGCTACCTTGGGCCGCATCTATGACTTTCTTCACTTCCTGGTGGTAGCTGTGCAGGACATACTGAAGAATGCGTTGAAATTTTACCACGTCCGACCGTCCGACCAAAGCTTGTTCCACCCGTTTCAACCATTCCGAGACTCTTTCCCTACAAAAGTGGAAGGTATCGACTTTAGGGATATTGCTCGGGTTCCTTTCATGTCGGTCAATGACCGCAATGAGGTCATCGAGCGCCAGACCCTTCTTGGGACCACCCGATGCGCCGCCGCCTTGCGACATCTTGACAGACCTTTCTCTTCAAGCTCCCTGATAAGAGAAAAACAAACACATCCCTCTATTCAGCATTACACCTTGGCCGGTCTATTCCATCCATCCTACATAACCCTTAGTACTTACTTTTACCCAATGCTACGCGTTCGTTCTTCATACCTTCCCTTACTCAGGTAGGTAAATTTCCTCACGTATACTTAGTCATTCATTATCTCTCCTTACTTTCTCGTCCTTCCTTTATGCCTTTTCTCATCCACTTCTCATACCCGGATGTCGTTCCACCAGGGACAACGGTCGGCTTTCCGTTATCCCCGGCAACGGCGCCACTTGTCGAGCGCATCGGTCCGGCACCGCACCAGGGCAGCACGGGACCCTCCCGGCCGCGTCACGCAGAAGTTGGTTAAAATCCTTCGTCGCAAATATACATTGAAGCTTCCATAAGCCGCTCCGGCCGAGTGCGCCAGCCATACCTCTCGCGAGCCCCTACGACAGGATAGGGCCTACGCGAGATACAACTTACCTACACCTTACGGGAGTTGTCACCTCCCTTCGGTGGGCGTATCCCTGTCGAGCTACCAGTCCACAATACGAAAGCTAATCAGTTGCAATCGCAGAGGTGAACCAGCCGAGGGCGTTTCTCGTTCGCTGTAGCATAGGGGGTACGCGCGGTAGTACGCCTCTGTCAGACCCGTACGCGAACCGACATCTTGGGGGGCTGAAGTCCCAGGCGCGGCCCGTCGTCGGTCGACTAGGACGCATCTCACACACCACGCTCGCACCACTCTAACAAACACCAAAAATAAAACACGCGCATACACACACGAACGACACAACACAAATAACACGACAACGGTCCTAGCTCCTCGGTATCCAACCTATAATTTTCTGACGCGGAAATCAGGTAAGCGTCGCGCGCGAGACTTAGTATAAAACCGCACGAACGCAGGACCTACTCATATCGACTTGCAATGCAGGCGTACGCAAGCAGTCGCAATGATGACATACTATATAGTACCCATAATCAAGCGGTCCCTCGTGGATCCGAGTACCGCTTATGACACTCAAGTGTCAGACTCGAAGTGTCGTGAGGGCCTAACCCTTCACGACATTGCATGGCTAAAGGAATAGCCGTGCAGCCGCCGCGACACCTCCGAATCTCAGCCTGAGTGTCTCGGTAGGCAAATCAAATAGGCTCTTCCCCTGCAGAGCCTAAGGCTTGGGGTGTCCTGGACAAGGACCTCGAATCCCGGCCGAGGACCAAACATCCGACGAAGAAAAATCATCAAAAAACAATAACAAAAATAGAAGGAGAGGTCTCCCCTAAGCCCCTCAGCCTCGGCTTCTGAGTAGGATTTTAGTATGGGGACTCTTCAACCCATGCAAACAATCATCCCAAGTATACCCATGTATACGTATATAAGGGTTAAGTATGTGACGATCACCTCTCACGGTCTCACTAGGGTCTCTCACAATAATACGTATATATATGATCGTAGGCAACCAAATCCAGAATCTGATTCACAACACATACCTGCAATCACATCAACGAACCAAATCAACAGCCCACGCACTATACGGAGTCAACCCCAACCATCTTCGACACTCATACCCCTTGCTGTAGCCATGCAAGCCCCAAACCTCCTGTCCAACCAACCTTAATTAAATACTCAGCACCTTTGTTAAATGACCATTCAATAAAAGTCTGGGTGAAACCTTAATAAAAAAACGAAATGACCAAGGCTAAAGCCTTTTAGGTTGAGTGTGGAGGGAGAGTTGAAATTGAGTCACAGACCGACGAATCGGCAACCGACCTGTTATAAGTGATAACAGAAAGTGATCCTCAAGGGCTCAAGTTGGATCTAGCCCTGAACTTGGATCAAATGATCAAAAGGACCTGTAACACACGACAGACCAATCCCGAAGCTAAAATCATAAGTGTATGGAAAATACAATTTCATAATACATCCTCCCTCAAAATTTCCTTATAAGCTAAACTTAAGCCTACTTGTAAATCAGTGCTTAAGCCAAAGGTAGACCAACTACAGAATCTCCTCTATTCTGGGTGGATCGCCTGAATCTCCACTTGTCAAAATATAATCTATCTCCTCTAAACTAAGAAAATTTCGGTAGCGCTGCCCATAGGAAAAAGTGTCTTTTAAGAATTTATATAAGCTCAAGTATGAACGCAGAAATAATCTCTAACTCTGGAAAGACAAATTTTGTCTAACTCTCTAAATTAATAAAAATTTTGGCAGCACTCCCTTCACAAAGGGAGACTTCCCACATTTATACTAAGTCAGATATAAAACCAGAAATAATCTCTAACTCTTGAAAGTCAAATTCTGTCTAACTCTCTAAATTATTAAAAATTTGGGCAGCACTCCCTTTAGAAAGACAAACTTCCCACATTTATACTTAGTCAGATATGAACTCGAACAACAGCTCGAGCTCAACTTTAGACTAAATTTAACCAACTCCTTAATTTTGTAGAAATTTCGGCACCACTCCCTCTAAAAAAGTGTTATTCCAAAATTTATACAAGGCTAAGTTCAGATTTTGAAAGTATCTTTGGCTTCCCACAGTTCAATTTTTGTCTAACTCTCTGAATTAGCAAAAATTTGGGCAGCACTCCCTTTAGAAAAGAAGACTTCCCAGATTTTAACTAAGCCAGATATATGGAAAAGACAAGTTGAACTCTGATAAGTCAAAAGTTGGCTAACTTCTTGGATTTGTAAAAATTTCGGCAGCGCTTCCCGTAGGAAAAGTAGCTTGCCAAGATTTATACAAAGCCAAGTATAAGAAAAGATCTCAGAAAATACAGGAAATCAACCTAAGTAAAAAAAAATTATTATAGAAAATGCAGGAATTGACACTTACTCCTATGAGTCTAGCACGTGGCGAGCAACTAAAGCAACTACCTATCAACCTGAAACTAAGACCAAGTAGTAACCTCACTCAGTCACATGCAAACCAAACCACAAAGGTAAGTACTCTCACCAGCCCTAATTTATTTCATATAAAGAGTTCGTGAATCTGTTTAAGTTTTTGAACCCTTATTTCCCTCTTACATAAGACATAGAGCTGGACCATCCGCCATGGAAACAATGCGCAGCTTGCCTTTAAGATATACACGAACAGGTTGCACAACTACTTCTCTCTTCTTTTGGGCAGATGATTAGGTCGTTTGCCATAGAAACAATGCCTAGTCGCCTTGAGCTGTTTAATATCCAAGATTTAGTATTTCTCTGACTTTGTTTTTAATAGAAAAGGCAAATATGGGTAGGGGACTGAACCATTCACAGTAGAAACAATGTTCAGCTTGCCCAGACTATTTTCATTTATACTTTGTGTTTTTCTTTTTCTCTTCTTAATGATATGGCTTAACACTGGACCATTCACAATAGAAACAATGCCCAGCTGCCAGTTCACATGCAAATATACATAAAGTATTTTCCTTTATACTCAGTTTAATTTATGTGCGTGGTTTTCAGGCTAACCCATTCACCATGGAAACAATGCTTAGCCTTAGACCAAAAATCCTCCCTCAAAATAAACAAGAAATTAAACCTCTTCAATCAGGCAAACCCTCAGAGTTAACTAGAGTAAACAGCTCATTCACAGTAGAAACAATGTCTGGTCCTCCAGAAAACAACTAAATAAACATAGCAACCAGGGCATTCACTGTAGAAACAATGCCTGGTCCTTCAGAAAACAGCCAAATAAGCATAGCCCTGAGCCATTCAAAGTAGAAACAATGCTCAGGCTTTGGTTGACCCTTCCAAACGCATGCAAAAGTGTCTTCCTCCAACCTTCCCTCAGTTCATCCTTAGTCTTCTTTCAGTCAAAACAAAAATGAAACTTAAGCTTCACTCTCACACATTTTTTCCATTCAGTCTGATTGGGTCCTGAAGAGAAAGCAAAAACCATAGGGACAACATAAGCATACCGCAATCATACTACAGGGAGATAGACAAACATGGGTAGTAGTGGGTTATATAGATAAAGATGATTTACCTGAAGGTTCCCTGCCTCCAGAACCTCGCCTAGGTTCCAGCAGAGCTCCCGCAATCGGTGGGTGGACTCCCCACAGAGTCTTAATGCGGACCTACGGGTTGCAATCCCCCCTACCGCCTTCCTCTCATAACCAAAGACTAGACTGAGACTTAGAAGGGAAGAGGGAGAAAGTTTTGAGTTTCTCAGATACAAGGATAGTGCGCTCAAACTTGCGAGAGAGGGCCTTATTATTTTGGTTCGCCTGAGGGCCCCGCAATGATGGCCAACTAGTGACAACTGTAGTCAACTGTTGAAGTCGATCCCCTTGACGACCTCTCGGAATGAAACACTAGCCCCTATTTTGTCCAGTTATATCGCCTCCTCAAAACCCAATGTCTCTCCTTAGCCCGGTTGCGCAGCGGCTGTAACAGTCAACAGTCCCCAACGCCAGCAGTTGCAGTACGCGGTAGTGGCCAATAGCAACAATCTGTGGTCCGCAGTCCGTAGCCCGTACACGATCCGTAGCAGACAGCCACAGTGGCAGTGTCCCACCCAGACTTAGCAAAACAACCCTTTAGAAGCAGTCGTAATTCGTAGTGATGACCAGTAGCGTTGGCACATTCCCTGCCCGGTCCTCTATAGCAGCAGTTCGCCTGTAGCCCGTTGCCGTAACAGCAGCACGCTGCGGCAGCCAACAGCAGCAACAGCAGCCAACAGCAACAACGCTTGATGGCCGTTGGTAGCGACAGTAGCAGCCAATAGCAGCCAACAGTAATCAACTGTAGGCATCAGCTACTACGCAGCCAATTCTGGTGAGTGCTTGAATCTTTCCCTCCCGCCAAACTGTTGATTCTCCCTCTCTCTCTCTGTGTGATCCTCCCTTTCTCTTTGTTAGGATGGACAAGGCTGGGATGAACCATTCAGCCCACGCATAGGAATGTACATTCGTCGATTCCCCAGCCTGAGTCTGCTGCCCCCGTCGACCCGTCAAGCAAGGCACCGAATAACAGGTACGTCTTCATCCCCACGACTGTTTTCACTCCCCATCCTCCGTATGAGGCCTTATGTATGTCGTACAACCTCCCGTTTCCCTCTCATTGCATTCCTCTCCCTCTGCTCCGCTGCCTCTCCTCGCTGCCGTAGCGCCCCGTATGCGAGCGTATCTGGCCACTTGCTCGACTTGATTCAGTCAAAGTGAGGGGGGGGCTAAACGGCGAGGAGAAAGTTTCTCCGGGAAGGAAACCTCCCTCGCAACCGAGAGAAGGTAATGCACAGGGGATAAGCATCACCTCTAGGTGAGTAGGGAAAA